CCAAACACGGATCGAACTCGTGTCCCCTGCGGTTGAAGCGTGGAGTCCTAACCACTGGACTGCCAGAGAGGTCCCCTGTATGCAAATTCTACTGCAGTTTCTAAAAACTTCGTGGGAGAGTAAACAGTACATTTGAGAATTAGCGACAGAGAGGTGTGGAGAAAATCAACCTACTGCAACACGAAGAACGAAGAGAGAAAGATGCGTGGAGACAGATGGCAGAGGGGCGAGAGGTCTCATGTCGGAGTTGAGTTCCAGAAGAGAATGCGAGACAGGTAATATCTCAGGAATTTCGAGAACCGGCTTACGGTACCAATCCAGAGATTCAGGAAAGCCAGAAGGTCTCAAACAGCATAAAGAAAAGATCCCCCGCAGACACATTTAGGCCAACGGTAAACTCGGGAGGCAAGGAGAGGTCACAGGAGTGGAGGGAACACACAGATTACCTGCAGAAGGACAGTTAGACCGATGGCTAACTTCTCAGTGGTAACTACAAAAAACCGGAGAGTTCTTCCGAGGGTTGGGATAAACAGAGGCTCCGTGGGGTGCGGCGCGGATGGCTTCAGGGGATCCGCGTCTTTAGGGTGTCCCTCCACCCACCGTGCCCACTCGCGTGGGCACAAGTCTGAGGACAGGACGCTCTCAGGCAGGCTGGGGGCGGGGATGCAGCGGCTTCCAGGTGGCAGCTTCTGCTTTGTGTGTCAGCACGACCTGGAGGACCATCCTTGCAACTGAGAGCACTGGACGTAGATTCTGGCAACAGACCTCACAGAGCTCAGAAAGGGACCAAAGGATCGAGTGACGTTTCGACGACAAAGCTCTTTCTGGTGCCATCAGTTTATTTATGGGAATGGGATTTTTTTGAGTGTTTTGATTTATAAATTGGAAAAGTAAGAGTAGAGTTGACGCTGAGCCTTGTGGACATAAGTAACTGAAGAAAACAGAGTAGCCCTCTCCATCTATGAAATTTTACTTTTTTATGTGTAGTAATTATTTACCATAACTGTAATACACTTGTCATTTTGATTACTTGCATACCAATAATAATTGTACCGATTTCTCAATCCGGAAGATTATTATTATTTTGTAGTACGCGGGCCTCTCACTGTCGTGGCCTCTCCCGTTGCGGAGCACAGGCTCCGGACGCGCAGGCTCAGCGGCCAGAAGATTATTATCTTTGAACACTTAGAGCCTTGTGGTCAATTCTGGAGCACATTTCTATAGCAGGGACGCATGATCGGGGGGTCTATACAATAATTCCAAGCACAAAATACATTAGATCTGTCGGGGAATGGAGCCGGAATAGGGATTCACAGAGAGGAGTGTGGGGTGATGGGCAGCGTCCAGTAGTAGCCGGAGTATTGGATGGTACCTGACAGCCCCCTTATTTGCCTTTTCATGGCTCTGTCGTGATGCTCTGGGGGTGCGGGTTCGCAGACACGGCACGTGTGTCCAGAGCTGCGGCCGTGGCCTCGCCATCCTCCTCCTCTGTCTCTTGTACCAGAAGGCGTCGATGTGCCCGGGGGAGAAGCTGGCAGGCCACAGCACCCCCTTCACACACTTGCCAGGGCATGCTCCCAGGAGCACCGGTAGGCACATTCTAGACTGCTCTTCAG